TTACCATTGAATGAACCTCCCGAAGCCATGAGCCAAATTAATCTGTCCTCCTTTAGGTTGTAGGTGTCAGACGCTGTGTCCTAGCGATGGAAAAGCTGACTGATACAGCACTGTAAGAGTCTAGAGATGATATAAAGAGCCTGGGAGGATTGCCTGGGTCATACACAAGTGCTGCACCATTCTATGTAAGGGACAAGAGCATCTGCAGATTTTGGTTCCCAGTGGGGTGGTGCTGGAGTTGATTTCCCAAAGAAACCCAGAGATGACTGTATTCTACTGTCCTAGACCACCACTGTGGCCCTAGACAGCCATTGTTTATCCTTTCAGCTGCTGATGGATACTGAGTTTGTTTCCAGCTTGGGTCCCTTTGTACATCTTGTTGCTATGTACATTTATGCTCAAGCCCTTGCGCTATTTCTTTGGGTAAATGTCTAGAGGTGAAATGGTTGGGTCATAGAGATGGATGTGTTTAACTTTTCATGAAATCACAAAACCATTTCCCAAAGTGGCTTCACCCTTCCCTACAGCAGTGCAAGATAGGCTGGGCCTTCTACACCCTACGGACATCAACCCGGCTGGTCTGTCTGGACTGCACCATTTCCTCAAGTGTGGTGGTGTCTCTGGGGTCGTCCCTGCTGCTGCTGAGCCTCTCGTCACATTCCCATGTGCAATCCCCACATCTTATTTGGTCAAGCCTCTTCTCAGACTGTGGGCCAGCTTTTTAAATTGGGTGGGCTTGCTTTTTAAATTGGGTGGGCTTTTTAAAACTGAATTTCAAGACTTTGAAATTCTGAATACAAGCCCTTTGTCAAATATATATGATGTATTAGTTTCCCATAGCAGCTATGATGAGTCACCACGGCATAGTGGCTGAAGGCTGCACACGTGTATTATTTGTAACTCTGAGACCAGAAGTCTGAAATGAAGATGTGCGAAAAGTACTGTTGCCCCTGGGGCCTCAGAGAGGATTTTTTCTTGCCCTGTCCAATTTCAGAGGCTACCTGAAGTCCTTGGCTCATGGCCCCTCCCTCCATCCTCAAAGGGCATTGCTCTGGTCTTGTGTTCTGGCTTGGACTCCTCTTTGCCTCCATGCCTCTCACCCTATGGCTCTCCTTTTGTCACCCTTTATGGTGACATTGGCTTACCCAGGTAAGCCAAGACCACGTCCCATGTTGAAAGCCTTAACACATCAGCATTTTGCCACATAAAGTTCAAGGTTTTGGAACCATTGTTCAGCCCACTACATATGATAGCAAATATTTTTTCTCAGTCTGTGCTTTTCTTTTTGTTCCCTTATCCTAGCCTCCCTCACCATACCAGTACAGGGGACTGAGTCCAGAGCATTGTACATGCTGGGTAAGTGCTCTACCACTGTGTGACAGAAACTTCTCAAGTGCAGAAAGTTTTGACTCTGATGCAATCCGTTTATCTATATTTTGCGTTTGGAGGTCATGCTTTCAGTAACCTATAAAAAAATAAACTTGACCTAACAGGTGTTTTTTGTTTTAGAAATTTTCTGCTTTTAGATTTCGCATTTAGGTCTGCAATCCATTTCAAGCTGATTTTTCATTTATGGTGTGAGGTAGGGATCAGCATCCTTTTTGTTTCACATCTAGTTATTCCAGTGCCACTTATTGAAATACAGCCTTTCTCCATTAAATTCCCTTTGTGCTTTTGTAAAATAAATCCAGCTCCTTCTCTAGGTGGGTCCACATCTGGATCTTTATTTCACTGATCTATTTGTCTGCTTTTGCACCAATACGGCATTATGATGATCATGTATGTCCCTTTATAATATTTCTTGAAATCATGCAACATTAATCCCCCCAAATTTGTTCTTTTCCTCCCACTAAAGATGCTTTAACTATTCTACATCTTGTACTTTTCCATATGAATTTTAGAATGAACTTAAATTTCTATTAAAAAAGATCATTCTGGGATTTTTATTTGGGCTGTGTTGTATCTGTATATCTATTTGGGAAGACCTGCCTGGCATCTTAACGTGATTGAATCTTCTGACCCATGAACTAGGTATATCTGTCTATTTACTTAGTTTTGCCCAAAATATTTTTTTGGGTTTTTTTTGTGTATAATCTTACACGTATTTGTTTGGGTTTGTGCATATGTATTTTCTATTTTGATGCTATTATAAATGGTATACATGTTAATTTATGATTGCTCATTGGTAGCATTTGGGAAAATGATTGATTTTTATATGTTGAACTTATATCTCGCAACTTTGCTAAACTCAGTTTTTAGTTCCTGTAGCTTTTTGGTAGATTCAGTCAGACTTTCTGCATGGATGATCATGTCATGTGTAAAAATGCAAAACAATAGGTGATGTACTTCTTTTGCAGCATGAAGACTTTCTTGCCTATGCCTCAACCCCTCCTTACATGGTTGGATAAATGCCCTGAGAGTGAGCACTTTTTGTCACCTGTTGATTGCTTGGGTGGCATCCAGTCTCCAGTGGCAGGCCCTTGGGTGTCCCTAAGGATCTTTGGGCCTTGCTGTTCACAAGCTGTCTAATTTCCTCTTTGAGTGTGGGCAGGACCTATAAGTTGCTTTTATCCAGTAGATTGCGGGAAGGATGATGAAGTGTGTGTGTGTGTGTGTGTGTGTGTGTGTGTGTGTGTATGTGTGTGTGATTATGTGCATCTGATTCATTACATGAAGCTGCTGGAGTCACATGTCCAGCCCCTTGCTGACTCTGAGGCAGGAAGTAACCATGGTCAGGTCCCATGGCAGGAGTTTCTGGCAGCCTTTAATCGCTATGGGCATCTTTCAGTCAACACCCAGAAAGAACAGGGTGACTCCCTCACTTCTACAACTCCAGGGATGGATTCCGCCAATAAACCTAGAAATGGACCATGCCCTGCCTGGTACCCAGACTGCGGTCTTTGGAGACCCCTGCAGTGGAGCCAGCAAAGCTGTGGGTGGACTCCTGTCCCAAGCCACCCTGAGACAGCAGAAGCGGGTTCCTGTGAGTTCCCAAGATGAGGCGATTTGTTAGGCAGCAACAAAAAACAAATATTTTCTGCTCCTCATTGTGGAGAGGTTTTAAAAATCTTTCATGGGAGGATCACAAATGCTCTTCTGTTTCTTTCAAGAGGACTTTTTTTTTCGGTTTGCAGAGATGAAGAATTACATTGACTTCGAATGGTAAACACACCTTCCTGGATGAAGCTCACTTGGTCATGATGTATTCTTTTTATGTGTTGTTGCATTCGATTTGCTAAGGTCTGGCTCAGACCTTATGTTCACGAGGGATATTGGTCCACAGGTTTTTTTTTTCATGCAATGATTTTCCTCTCATGTTGGCATTACGGGAATGCTGTAAGGAAGTAGTTGTAACTTTTTGATTTTTGGAAAGAATGTGGGAAGAATTGTTATTGTTTCTCCTTTAAATGCTTGGTTGGCTCCATCTGGGAAGTCACCTGGGGCCGATGTTTTCTTTGTGGCCTCTGAATTCTGTGCCATTGATCTCGACGTCCGCCTTCATAGCAGCACCATCTTACCTTGATAAAGTTCCTCTATGATGAAAAGGAAGCCTTCACTATAATTTCAATTTATTGTATACATGTGGGGGTGTTCAGGCTGTATTTCCGGAGTGACTTTGGTAATTCAAGGAAATTACTGAATCTATTGACCCGAAATTGTCCCTAATATCCCTGTGTATTCCTTGTAATATCCGTGGACTGTGCAGTGATAACATCTCTCTATTCCTGCGGGTGATATTCTGTGTTCTCTCGCTGTTTTTTTCCCCAGTCTTGCTAGAGGTTTATAAATTTTATTGACCTTCTCAAAGAATCGGCTTTGGTTATATTGATTTTCTCGGCTGCTTTTCTGCTCTTTTTCATTACTATTCATTCTCTTCTCCACACTTTGAGTTTAATTTGCTCGTCTTTTTCTGGTTTCTTAAGGGGAAGCTGAGTTGTGGACCAAGGCCTGGCTTCTGTGCTCCTAAGACACAGGCATTCTGTGCCTCAGTTTCCCCCACAGGCTGCTTTCTGAGCTGTCCACTCATTCTGATAGATTGTGCTTCTGTTTTTAATTGGTTTAACTGTCTCTCCCCTTTCTCTTTTGACCTCTTCTGTGTCCCAGGTGTTATTTAGAAGACTGTCATTGAATAGCTAAATGTATAGGCAGTTTTCTACAGTTTCGCTAGGGACTTTTTTTCTTAAATTCTGATGCACTCCCTTGTGGCCTCAGAAGATTCTCTATGGCTTGAGTCTGCTGGATATCATGCTTTTGATGGCTGTGTAAGAGTTGTAAGAGTGTGTGGTAAGCAGCCTCATATTTTCACAGTCTCCCTTCCAGCAGCGTGAAGCCGCGTCCCACGAATCTTGAGATCCATGCACAGTGAACTCTGTGTCCCTCTTCCGGCCTTGGTGTCCATGCTCAGACCCCGCAGCACATGGCAGAAACCAAGGCCAATGTGGAGGAGGGGAGGCTTGCGGGGGAGAGGGGTGGGCATGGGGGAGGGGCTGGTCCAGGTGTAACTAGCCGCCTGGTGCCACCCCTGGCCCCACCAGGCCCACAGCTCCTTCCTCCTCCAGAGGAGGTGACAGGGGTGCCCCAGAGCCCCAGGACATGTTCCCTTGCCTCTCTTGCATTTGTGTTCTAAACTCTGCGGGCAATTCTGCGCTCACAAAGACCCTCTGTCTTTCTTTGTTGTTCAAAATGAATTCAGATTTAATTGCTTCTGTTTATTAAAGATGACATTTAAAGGCTGAATTCTGCCTTCATTTTTTTACTTGTGACTCATAAATCTTATTGTTCTATCTTCAAATCTAGCTACTTTTAATAACCTCCTATAAAGAACCCATGAGTAATTTTCAGCGCTCTCCCCAACTTAGCTAACCAGATAGCTTCGGCCATTTTAGCACGTGTACCTTTAATGCATAGATTTAAATGCATCCTTTCACTCCCTAAAAATTAACAAATCCTTCTGCACAGGCACTGCTAGAAGTGTAAACGTCCAAATTCACAGCGCGATAAACTCAGAGGTCCAATAATAGGTTGCAGTAGTTTATAGAAATGCAGCAAAATATCACAACCACTCCTGTCTGTTCATTTGGAGCTGTCCTGCAGTCTCCCCAAAGGCCAAATTCTCCTGATGATTGCAGATACTTCTGTGGTGTGCTTTTTTCCAATTTCTAAGCATTGAAATATTAATATCCTGCCTTTGCGTTCTCAAAACCTTCAAGACTTCATTCTGGCTTCTGCGCTGGAAGGTACTTCCACAAGGAACAATGTCATGCAGTGAACAGAGCTTCCTAAGCAGCAGGATGGCAGCCAGGGCACCGCTGGGATTGCACCAGGCAGCTCTCACTGTCCAGCCCTCCGCCAGTGGCTTCCGGACTTGGAGGAAGATGCCACTGAGCCACCTTCCTGGGCCCCATCGCCGCACCCCCAGAGCCCGTGTCTCCCGGCTCGGTTAATCCAGGACGGCATCTGCACAGCCAAGGCTCGGTGTGGTCCGAGAGTGCTTGCCTCTAACCTGAACACCACCCGAGCGCAGGGATGTAGGACCACAACCCACCGTGGACACTGAGACCAGATCTCACGGGGCTTCTGTCTTTTGCGGTCTCGCTGGCCCTGGGGCAGCGTGAACCCTTTCCGGAGGGAACACCAAAGACGAAGGCTGCCAGTTCCCTCCAGTGCCTGTGGGCCAGTGCAACCTGGCCTCTCTGTCTCTGGGCTCCTGGCGTCTCTAACCTGGCTTGGCCCCCAGAAGTGGGGGAAGTGGGGTCCAGAACCGTCCTGCAGCAGGCTTTGGCCTCCGGCTCCGGCAGGCTCCACGGCACCCTGGGGGTGGAAAATGCCCACAGGCTGAGGTCCTGAACTCCCCCTCAAGGTGCCCCTTCGATCTGCCCCTGGCCCTGTACCCCCTGGGACACCCGCCCCTGGCCCCTTCCCTCTTGTCTGAGTGCCATGATGGTTGGAAATCCAGTCCTATCTTCTGAACCAGGAAACCACCAGACCACAGCGAGCTTCCTCCCACCACCCCAAGCCTTCCTGGATCCCCTAGTTCTTCCCCAGAGCCAGAAAGAACCCCATCCCACTGCTGCCTGATCCCCAGCCCGTGACCACTCTGTCTTCGTTCTCTATTCAGAGCATCCATAGGGTCTGAGACGGCCGCCATCCCACCTGAATTTGTTCACCTGGGTCCCCAGTCTCCCTTCTTGCCCCATGGGGAATCCTCTCCCCAGAAGGTCCTGTCCAGTCTAACATCCACGGAAAATATGGAGAAGGTTGTACATGTGGAGTCTTCCTGGGGGAAAGTCTGGTTTGTGCAGAGCTCCTGGTCGGCGTGGTCCCCTAGGAACACTGCTGGTCGCTGTTTCCTAAGCCATCCCCATTCTCCAAATTCACAGAGGTCCGTGCCCGGAGAAGCCGGGGAAAAGGGCTGCTGCAGAGAGGGAGTGGCCTTCCTCCCACCCTGTCCCCTGTCCTGCACGTTTCCACAGGACACGGCCTGTCAAACTGTAAGAGGTGAGAGTTTATTAGTGAAGGCTACCTCTGCCATGATATCACACCTGGAATCTCACCCCCTTGGCTAAGGACGTGCCAAGTGACTGCCTATGCCCTTGGTGGTGAGGCCCGTTAGAGGGCTCGGGTGCTCCTGCAGGAAGTGCGCCCCCAGCTCCACACATTTCCGCTCCATTTCGCCGAGTTGAAGCCTCCCCCAGTGAGGCAAACAGGGTGGGGCAAGCCCTGTGCTCAAATTCCAGGCAGCCCTAAGACCTGGGGGAAATTTCACCCCAAATGCTGATCTTTGAGTCTGGAAGCAGAGTCCTCCACAAGACATGCCTGTGCCCCCTGGAAGTCAGGGTTCTGAAGCTGCAGTTCTTGCTGTGAAATTAGAGCTTGAGGAATGTCTCCAAGAAAAAAATTAACTTGTTGAGTACAGTGTCATTATTGTGGGGGGCAAAGATAAATGATGAAATGGAGAAGCACTTTTAATCTGTCAAGCTAAAAGTGTCTTTTTAATGTTGTTTTTCAAATTTGCTTAGCTTAGGGATGGGCTAAAAATAATTTTTATAAATATATAATTTAAGCCTTGCAGTAATTTATTTATAAACACTCTTGCTTTGGGGATGTGATAAGATTTTTTTAAGAATTTATAAAAGCCAAGGTATTGGGGAGGGGCAGGAGGTTCGTGTCAGGATCCTGGTGTGGAGTAATTTGTTTATGTGACCTGTGTCTACGCAGGGTGTGTACACTCGGGTGTGGGGCAGTGCAGGCGGCCAAAGGCATCGCAAGGGCCCTGCTGCCCAGGCCGCTGCAGGACCAGCCGACCCGGGAGACCCCTCAAAACCGCAGGTGCTGCATCCCACCCTGGGGCCCTGGCTCCCCCCACCCCCCAGGCCACCAGAGCCATCCCAGAGGTAGGGGCCCAAGGCCAGGTGTGTCGTCTGAGCGGGGCCCTCCCCTGCCCCTTTGCTGTGCCTGTCCCACAGCTGAGACCCTGTGTGCAGGCTCAGCAGCCCTCCCTGGGCCCCACACACAGGAGGGAGCGCTGGGTGGGCCCTTCTGCACTTCTGCTGGCCAGGAGGGGAGGGGCGCCCCCGAACCTCCCCTCCTCATGCTGCCCACGGGACTTGCCTCACTGCTCTGCTGCTCTCTCACGCACCTTCAGCTCTTCCGCAGTCCAGCCTGAGCTCTGGTTTTGCTCTCTCTTGGCTCTGCCTTCTCCCCAGAGCGTGGCCTTGGGCCCTTGGGATCCGCCCAGCCCCACACCCGGAAGTTGTGCAGCCAGGAAAGCTGCGCTGAGCGAGGCCCTTGGGGAGGCTTTGGGGCCCATGTGCCCTCTTGCTCCTGGCCCAGGTCAGCTGTCAATGGCCACTCTGTGGCCTGGGGCTAAGGTCCTATAGGTACCCTGCTGTCTTCAAGGACAGTCCAGTCTCTCAGTGTTCTGGCAGTGGACTCGCAAAAACTTTTAATCCCCAAAGGTCTGGTTCTCCTAAATCCAGGCTGTGTGACCTTGGGCCTGACACTTGACCTCTCTGAGTCCTTTCTCACATGGCTCAGGATAACTGAGTAATCAGAGGACTGAGGGAGTAAGGACAATACACTCCAATCACCCAGGTCTTTGATGCCTAGGGGGCTGGTGGTCAGTCATGGCAGCACTGCCCACCCATGCACAGCTGGCCTAGGCTTAATCCCATCTTTCCCACCAGGAGCCTGTCCGCCTGACCTTCACTTCTATTCAATATCAGAGATGCCACTCACACTGGAGCTGCCATCACGGCTGCCATCACGACCACCCTAAGACCTCTCAGTGGCCGCACTCATTCACGACACAGAAAAACCCCAAACCTTGGGTCCCCAGTTACCTAAAATCAGCATGAATTACTTAGTTAAGGAAGAAAGGCCAAACCACATCCGCATTCCTTGGGTCTCAAGAACCCCCAGGGGAGCAAAGGCCTCTGGGAGCTCAGCGCTGCCTCCCACCCTGCAGGTGCACCTGGTCATGGGGAGAAGGCGGTCTTTCCAGCGGCAGCAGACAGCTCCTGCCCGGGAGACTCTGGTTCTGTCCTGTGCTTACTTCTAGGCTCCTCCCAAATTTCTCCTGGCCCCTGAGGAGGCAGGTTGCCTCAGTCTTGCCCTCATTTCTTGCTGACTTTGCTGCTGTTTGTAGAAGACGCTGCTTGTAGCCCTGAGACAGAGACAATGCTACCTGTCCACAGTGGCCTTGGTCCTCCTCCTGAATATTAAATTCCCATTTCTAAATCGGTATCACGTAGACACCGCTGCACATTGGAGCTTTGGTCCATGGAATGCTCAGAGAGAAAGCGCTCCCAGAACTGAACCCCCGGAGCTTCTGTGCTGTGTCCCTGAGGAGCACCCCAAGGCCCTGCACCCAGCTCACTGCCGGATGGGGTTTGTTACAGCAGCCATTAGCTTCCCTGCTGGCTAGTTCAGAAATCAGCAACAATGTTGCAACAAAAGTCTACACTGTGTGAGGCGGGCAGTCTGCGAGCCAGAGGACGGGGCTAAAGGGCGGGAGGGCTGCAGTTGATCCAAGCGGTGCCTCCCGTAGCTCCAGCGGCAGCTGCACCAGCCGTCCTTTGTGGCCTCAGGGGCAAAGCTGCAAAAGCAGATTTTTGATAGCGCGTGCTCATTTTGCTTGCCTGTGTGACTTGGTGTTACAAGGACAGTTTAGCAGTTTGCAGGCAGGAATAAAATGGACCAGAGCCTGGGAGCTGGAGGTCCTGTGGGGAAGAGAATGTCCGAAGGCTTCTAGGTTCCCAAGCGGTCAGAGCTGGGGTTTTAAAAGATCATAACAAAATCCAGTGATCTATCCTTCCTCCCTCCCTCCTTCCCTCCCTCCCTTCCTTCCTCCCGCAGCGACTCAGCTACAGTAAGAGCACCCTTTGGGGAGGCCACCTTGAGACATAGACCCAGCGAGTTTGGGAAGAAACAGCTCAGAAGGCAGGAGCCGCAGGGCGGGAGGGATGGTTCCCGGTCCCTGCACCCTGCCCTGCCGGCTGTGCCCTGAGGACTGTGACGTGGGAGGCGAGCTGTCCTGTCACCAGGAGGCGGCCGTCCTCCGGCTCCGGAGAGACAGGGAAATCTGCACCCTCTCCCTTATTTAATCTCCGGGCTCTCCGCCAATGCTGCCTCCTACGGTGTTCTTCAGCGGCACTTGAGCTGTGCAGTTTGGTTGTCATTGTCACTGTGACTGTCATCTGAGGCATATGGGCGGGGGGTGGCCAGGGATCCGATTCCTAGAGATCTGCAGGAGGCTGATATCCCACCACCCACCGCACGAGGTGGCACAAGTCCCAGAGCCAGGACATCTGAAACATCTCTGTCCCCAGGTGGCTGTGGGGTGGTCCCCTGGATGACTGGGGCATATTAGCCTTGAGCTGAGGCTCAGGGTCCGTCATCTGAGCTTACCCCAGGGGCGGGGCAGGTGTAGTAGCCTGTTCCTCTGCCCGCCTGGGCACGGTCGGCGCCCTACCCTGCGGTTCTGAACTGCGCTCCGCAGTCGGCTGCTGAGGACAGTGGCTGCCAGCAGGGTCTCCCTCTGGCTGAGGGTGGCTCTGTGTCCCTGGAGGAGCTGACCTTTGCCTTGCAGTGGCCCTGGGAGCTCTGCAAAAATGCTCACAGGATCCTCAAAAGGGCACCTTGGGCTGGTGGCCAAGACTCAGTGGTCTGTGACATTGGTGGCCAAGACATCTCCATAGACAAGCCAATGCCCGATCCCCCACCATGAAGGCTGGCGTGGCTCTGAGTGTCACCTGCATCACTGGATGGGTGTGCAAGGCCCGGGAGCACAGAGGGCTCCGCGGAGACCCATGGGCTCTGCAGCCCCTAGTCTCAGGCCCTGCATGGGGAGCTCTGCCAGAGCTTCTCTCCTTCTCTCTGCATCACCCTAGCCTTCTCCCGTGTCCGGGCTCTCGGCTCTAGGGGTCACCCGTCAATGGGGCACATGCAGCTCCCACACCTGCTGCAGGGCAGGACCACCCCTAGATGCAAGAATGCGGGGGCACAGGCCCTCTCAGACCAGGGGAGCCAAGTCTCCGCACTGGAATCTGTGTTGGCTAAAGCGTCCTGGGGACTCTGACCGGGAGCTTGGTAGGAGCCAAGTGGCAGCACTTCAGAGGGGTTGGGGGGAAGCCTCACTTCCCCACGCCATGGGTCCCGTGACCCCAGCTCCCCAGCCATTCCCCAGGGCACAGGGAGAAAGACCCAAATCTAGAGCAAATTAAGATGGTAAAAGTAAGTACTAGATGAGGATCAAATTAACTACAGAGAATATTCAGGGTTTATGTCACCATGTGGTGATGTAGGGTGAGGATTTCAGTCTTTCTGGTGTCGTGTCATGTACTTAAAGAAAACTTCAGGATATGGTGGTCCACACCTGTAATCCCAGTCGTCTGTGAGGTGGAGGCAGGAAGGTCCCAAGTTGGAGCCCAACCTGGGCAATTTAGGAAGACCTTATCTCAAAATAACAAAATTTAAAAGGGCGAAGGGAATGTAGCTCAGTGCCTAGGTTCAATCCCCAGTGTAAAGAAAGAGTGAGACATAGAGAGAGAGAGAGAGAGACAGAGACAGAGACAGAGACACAGAGAGAGAAAGGAAGAAGGAAGAGGAGGAAGAGAGGGAGAGGGAGGAAGGAAAGTTTGCACTCCAGTTCCTAAGTTCACCAGGGAACTTCTTCCTAGAGAAAAAATTCAACAGAAGCATGAACATTGTGCACATAATTGTGTAAACTGCTGAACAGAAGATAAGTGCTCCACCGTAAGAAGACCATTCCCTCAAATAAATGTTAAGTAGCCACTTAAAAAATGCTAAATGTGCCAAATCTCCTAACGTGGAAAAATAACTGTAAACTTAGAACATTAAAATGTACCTGAAATAAAATTTTACATAAACTAAAAATCTATAATTTTACATGTAAAATTGTAAAGTGACATTACAGAGGTTAAAAATAATTACGCAAAGAGAACATAAAAAAGGGCATTCTTCCACATCTAGTAAGGATGGGTTAGAAAACGGGGCCAGAGTTCTTTCTTGAGAGCAAATAGAAAAGCTGTACAGAATTCGACATGATTCTTCTCAAGCATGAAAGCTGATCAGAGCCACAAAGAATCAATCACCTGAATGCGCTCTCACAGGGACGGAACCCAGAGTGGCCTGCTGGCCAGCACCTCTGCTGGGACCGCTGGCCGTCAGCTGCAGGTTCGGGAGTGGTGGGGTCTGACAGCACAGCAGCTTGGCGAGGCTCGACGCAGGGTGCAGGGTGCCCGTGGGTGGGGCAGTGATGTGGACGTCCATGTCCCAGAGGCGAAGGTGACCCGCCAGGAAACAGCTCCCCCAGAATGTGACCTGGTTTCAATTACGTGGGGGGCACAGGCAGTGGGTGGATTGCAGTGCCAGCCTGTGCCTGGGGAGCAAGAGAAACCTGCTCAAAGGTGCCACAGTGCCAGGTTTCAAGGCACTGCCCCGCATCAGGCTTTTAAGAATCACAACCCATGACTCTCCGCCCCAGTCATAATGAGTGTGCTACATTCAATGTCTTCACATCCCATTAGCACCAATAATAGTACCCATTTAATACCTCGCAGCTCTGTAGGTCAGGGTGGGCTCAGTGGGTTCCCTGATTAGGGTCTCCCACGGCTGAACGTGAGGTGTGAGCCAAGCCGTGTCCTCAACTGGAGAAGCGGGAGGAAGCAGCTTCCAAGCTCGCTCAGGTTATTGGAAGAGTCCAGTTCCTTGGGGCTATAGGACCAAGAGTCCCATTTTCCAGCCAGCTGCCAGGTGCCGCTGCTTTAAGCTCCTCCCTATGTGACCTCTCCGTCTTCAAAACTCACACCAGCGGGTCAGGCCCTCCTTACGCTTCCAAGCTCTCGGAGTTCCTCTCATGCTGCCTGCCGGGGAAGACTCTGCTCTGAAAGGCTGATA